AAACTTCAAGCACCTCGACCTATTATATTCGGAACTTTCAGCGGAATCTAATCGACCGCGTTATTTACCTGATGGATACGGGTACCCTGATGGCCAGATGCCCTCGACGCCTAATAATATTGGGGAGATATTTAATTGAACGATTAGCTCAGCCCCGGCCTTCACACTCTCCCATAAAAGTTCTCTAATGGAGATTTTAGAAAATTTAAACGAGCAGATACTCACACACACACACACACACACACACACACGCACGCACGCACGCACACACACATCTAAAGAGAAGCCTGTCACATTCTTAGTGATTCCATATCTAGACAGCAATATCAGAGACCCTGAATGTGTTAGAGGGGACGACCTATTCAGAAATCTTGCCCCCCTAGACTGATGGAACACTGGTTTCTGTCAAACCAGACCACTTTCTATGGCGCGCGTCCTGAACAGCTTGATCGTTAGATCCGTGAAGATCCTAGCCATGATATTGTCCTGTCAACTCAGTATGACCTGCCAATGGCTCCGAACTTCTTTTTGGAGGCTAAAATTCCTGATGGATCCCTTGCTGTTGCTACACGACAAGCATGTTACGATGGCGCACTGGGAGCGTGCGGCATGCATTCTCTACAATCTTACCAGCAAGATGGATGGACCTTCGATAACAATGCTTACACGATGTCAGTGATTCATCATGGTGGTACACTCAAGCTATACGCTATCATGTCAGCGAGTCTGGGGATCAGAGTCAACCCCGGGGCTTTGTGACCCTACTCAATGCTTGGGGCATGACTAGGAACTTTGGAGACCTTTCGACAAGGAGCATCGGCATGCCGAAATGCTTGAGACTGCGCAAAGGAACAGAGGCATGAATTTATTATAGCGGTTCGTCTATTTCAGAGCAACAGACAACTTCTGATTTAACGCTCACCCCTGGATGATTCTGATGGGTCAACCGAGCCCGGTGAATATGCCCAATAAAGCCTTGCGGCTCCAGTTGAATGTGGAGAAGAAGTACCTTGGGGAAATCCCAAAACGCCGAAGATCCGCGCCGGCGAGTCCCTTTGGAACAGCCGGTGATGCGGCAGCCAAACTGGTGATAAGGCCCCAAGCACCAAACTGAAGCCATGTACATAAATACGGTTCTACAGCAGTACCTTATTCTGTACTGTGAATTATTACACCCACTTTTCATGTTATTCGTTAAGCTAATTTCTGTTTGAAATTATATAATCGTTCTTGATCTCTTCAGTCCCAGTGCTGAGGGTCTCTGTGCGGGAGAGTGTCATGTGCGGCCCTGCCAAACATTTGTAAATGCTAAGACAAAGGGCCACTCTGCTGGGAGCCAGTTGTACTGGGCAGAAACCGCAGAGGTTACTTCCAATGATAGCCACTTCTTCCATGGAGATGACCTGAATAAAGTCCCAACGAGCCGTTCCGTAACGAGTAGTTAATAGGCCAGTGATCTGCATGGAAAAGGAGAGGTTCCCCGCTTATTTTTAGGCGGCTACGGGACCCTAAATGCTTCTTCAGTGGAATCGTTTTTGGACTTTTAAAGGTGAACTCCAAGGGGAAAGGATAGTTGGAAAGGCTGGCCAACATCGCAAGAGCTCGCAAGGCATATCCCATATCAACAAGCATAACAGACATGGGCCATCCCTGTTCTACTTCTCAGGTGAGTGCACACCGCTTCGTCTAAGAGATAGGGCCCTTCTTAGCGAACCTCAAAAGACAGAACCATTTTGCAGGCGAAGAGTATGCTGAAAGCAACGAAGCCCAGAATGCGCCGTGTGTGAAGCGAAAAAGAGACGATCATTCGGAAACGGGCAATCAAGCCATCTCTTATTTAAGAAACGAATATTGCGGCACATTAACTTAACTCTTGAGGCGACCAGAAAGAAGAACAAGACCTCTTTCCGACCTCCCTCCTTATGTGATATTTGATGAGTTCGAGTTTATTGAAGATGTACCGAATCTCAGTCGTCTGGCGAGTCGATCTCTCTTTGAGATAGGTCAAAAGCATATCGAGAATTACGTTATATCGTGCTTGACTCCGTTGGCAGATAAGCAGATTTGTTGCGTGGGAGAGACTATGTGGAGATGAACGATCAGCCGTCAGTCACTCAAGAAAGACGATCAACCCTCTTGAGCGCTTTTTGAGTATGCGGACTGGGACGTCTATGGTGGCTCATAATGGCCCAGACTCCAAAAGCGAAACTAGCCTTGTACGGTGCTCGGTCAACCCCCTGTCTCAACCTCTCTACTGAGAGCAGAATGTGTAGAATGATGATGAAACTTATGTTTTGCAGATTCTAGTACCAGAGCCCTGGCAAGGACTCTTAGTGGACTCCGGCTACGAGATTTATGTCCAAACACTAAGAGTGAACAACATTTATTTCTTCTCACCCGTATTTTCCACACTCATCCTTCTTGTTCTGACCGCTCGCCTTCTCTGGGGAACCAAGAGAAACTCCATCCTATTCAACCTCCTCCATGTTCATGTCCACATCGTTATCCTCGTCTTCATCTTCATCCTCCTCCTCCTCCTCCTCCTCCTCCACCACCACTCCATCTTTTCCACACAATCTTCTCACGGCGTTGCCCGTGATTATCCCCTGGAACACATGAACATACTCATCATAATCCTATCCCCAGAGCCGTGCTTTCCAAAACCTATGGCATATGCCAACAGTCTATCCAACAGGTCCTCTCCTTTTTCAATCTGAAACCTCCAGCACACGTCTGCAGCATCATCGTCTTCGGCAAATAAGACATGGAAGTTGTATGTCTCTTTTCCAGTTTGGTGGGCTGTTGGGCGCTGATGCAATGTCCGCGAAATAAATGACTTGTTTGGTTCAGTGGCTTGCATGTCGGCAATGCGGACAAGAGATGCGATCTGAATTTTCAAGGGGTTCTGCTTGCTTGGTGGCCAGAGATTGCGCATCGACGTCCTTGAGCCTATTTGAAGAAGTGGTGGCATGAATTTAACCATCATAGCTCGGGACATGGTCTTAGAGTACAAGTCTGCAGAGTATAACTTCTGTGAAAATTTCTCGTTTCCTTTTGGTGTAGAGGAAAAAATAAGAGTTGGTTATAGATGTATATTTAGTTGCTACTACCCAGGACGAAGAAAAGAACGCTTCTTGTAGCGATGCCAATTTTTCTTCGACCTAGCATGCAGATAGAGCGCCATAGACATATATTCAAAGCTGGAGGGGAAAAAAAAGATGAAGTAGAAAGGTGAAAGGTGAAACTTAGGGCTATTTACTCAACTTAACCGATTCCACGAAGCTGATGAAACGCCTGTTGGTTCGGTGATCCTCGCATCAGGGAATACGAGCTAGCTGGTAGCAACCAACATAAACGAGCCACGCCTTTCTTTCTCAACGCGCTCAAATTCTTCCACTTCCAACACATTCAAAATGCCAAATGATGTTATAACCGAGCTTGCAATTGAAGATTTGAGGGGTCAAAAGCTCTTAAGAATTATACTGCTACTGCCAAAATATATTCAATTAGCAAAGAAGCCGTACGTCAGCAGCATAGATATGTTTAAATCTCATATAATGAAACTGCCTTTGACACGAGTAGAAGCTCATGAACTCACAGAAGAGCTTGCAGGTCATGACTTTGCTTCTCCTTCTCAGATTACTCAAAATCTCATAAAGAGATCACTAAAGAATCTGTAAGAGTTAATGAAGTGAGACATTTTTACTGAGTTATCATAAGAGTTAAATTAAATCTCTTCATGCTTGTGAAATTAATCAAAAATATGAAGATTACAGATAATCCAGTCTATTTTGAGCACTATTTTTATTTAATGATTTGAAATTTTATATATTCTTTTGTTTATATTTTCTATGATTCTTTATTAATAATTGTGCTGTAATTATAATTAACTATATTATTGAATAAAAAATACAATATTAAATTATTAGATATTTACAATTTTTTTAAAAAAAAACTTTATAATTAATATTAATCAGGTCATCAAGTAAAATATATCAGTTGAATTTTTACTTTAAAGAAAATTATTATAATTTAAAATAATAGTCAAGAATTTATCTTTCTACATATTATATATAGATAAATCAACTTTTTTACTTATTTTAATTTATTAAAAAAAGTTTTACAATAGACTGAATAAATAATTAAAGAATTTATATAAAAATAATATAATTTATTTTACAATCTCTGAAAACATTAAAATAATAATAATTTCTAAAAATTTCACTAATTATAATAAATGTTTAATTAATATATTAAAAATCAATATATTTATAAAAAATATCTTATTTTAAATAACTATTTTTTGATACAGATATAAAATTTATTAAATTTATAGATAAGAATTAAACTTTTCTTAAAATTTTTCTTAAAATTTAATTATCAACTGTATTTTTTTTAAAATATTGATTTATGTAGTTATTTAATATATATATATATATATTTATATAGAATTAATGAATTATTTTTCAATAAATTTGAACTTATTTAAATAATAAAGTAAAGCTTTTTAAATTTTTAAATTCATATTCAAATAGTTTTTAATAGTTTAAAATATTTTTTTTACATTTATCATTATTAATATTTATTCATTTATTTACTTTTGAGTATAATTTTTACTAATTTAGTAAAAGTCAATATCTTTAAATAATTTAACTTTAAATAAAATTTTTACACTTATAACTATTTATATATTATAATGTAAATTTTAAAAAGTTCATCTTTAATAAAATTATGTTTTTAATAATAGCAAGAATATTTTTTATATTAGTAAGAAGATTTTATTAACTATAAAAATATGACTTTTGCTAATATTTTATATTTTGATAAGAAGTAATAGTAGTATAATAAAAGTTTATATCTATTTAATTATAAATATTTTAATTAAATATAAATCTTATCATTATTTGAAATTTAACAGAAAATGAGTATTTTTAAACTACTGATCAAAATAAAAGAAATCTACTTAATAAATATAAAAAGATTTCAATAAAATGTAAAATAAACTTATATAATTGAAAAAGCTTAGAAAAGATAAATTAAATAATAATCTGCTTAAACAGCAGCTTATTATACTTGAAAATAAAAAAATTAAAAAAATATAGTAATATATATCAACAAGCTATTAAAACAATTAAAAAGAATATAACTTTAAATAAAGAAGAAAAAATAAACCTGTACTTTATACATCAAAGTGAAAATTAAATAATATAATTATATCTATATTAAATTAAATATAAAATCAGACTTATATATAAGATTTTGTATTGTTAAGTTCTATGTAATCTTTTCATCTAGAAAATAGAGTCATTCTGAATCAGTCAAAGTAGCTAGATGCTGCTTCTATCATTAGTTTAAAATACAACTAGAATGAGACAGCATCGAGACAGAGCGTCAACAGCGACGTCACGTAGGGTTAGTTATAGGGGAAGCTGAATGAGTGGGCTTGACTAGTTAAGAAAGCAGACGAGCGTATGCCTACAAATAGAAGATATCTAGAAATCAAGGTACAAGTGATTGTATAGAGAATTGTATTCGTCAACAATATCACGTAGGATTGGTTATAGAAAAAGCTGAATGAGTGGGTTTAACTAGTTAAAAAAGCAGACGAGCGTATGCCTACGAATAGAAGATATCTAGAAATCAAGGTACAAGTGTTTGTATAGAGAATTGTACAAGTATTTCAGTAACTTTGATATATTGAGAATGAATCACTGACTCTCTGAACAATGAGTCAGATAGCTATCTATATAAAGTTTCTATCAAACTCATTTTTTAGTGAATGTGATTAGATGCCGTGCTACTTGATTAAGAGGGTAAGAATGCCTTCGGGGCGTTCATTGACAATGTGATTCTCAAGATCTTCCGCAGTGATGATTTATATAAACATCTCATAAAAGGTGATGGAAGTAGGAATATCACTGAGAGGAGACGTAGTGCTCAAAAAGGCATCTTGACAAAATTCTGTGACTGTGACAACAATGCTCCTTGAAACAACTCTTTACTCATATATTAAATATCTCATCATGACTATGAAATTATATCATTCATATATCTATTTCATGAATCATCTATTTTCTATGTAATTAAAGAACACTCTCATTAATAGCTTTATTTTAACTAATTTTTATTCAGTAATTGCAAAGATATTTAAATTTATGCTTCAAGTTATGATTTTACTACATAGCTCATTGTGTGATAAATCATATTAATTATGTAAATAAATTTATATATCAAAAAAAAGGAGATATGATTAAGCTGATGATTTGAAATTTACTCATGAGATAATATTTATATTTTTTTTTTTGATGATTACTCTGATTTGCAGTCTTGTCATTTTAAAGTTGAATGAAAAAAAACTACTTTTTCTGACTTAGTTAGCTATTCAATTATATAGTTTTTATGAAACTAATTGATCATTTGCAGTATATCAATGAACTCAAAAATGAGCTCTGTTTCATTTATTGCATCAATTTGAAGTAAAGTTTGAATCAAGTTCATTATTCACAGCTATACTCAAGTATAAATATATATTGATTGAGCTTTATCATTCTCATCATTTAAATTAAAACTGATATTCTTTGCTTAGTTAATTTTTAAAATGTTATTATTCAATCTGCTTGAGAACTTCTTTTCTTCGATGAGATCTATATAATAAATTGTGTTAAATAAGCAGAAGTTATTGAGAAGTTTGAAAATCTTATAAATTTTCTACATACTATTTTTTCAACATATTTGATTTCAACACTTTATATGAAAGGTTTTTAAAATTTAATCATTCTCTGATATATTATCTTGGTGATAATAACTTTGTTTTGATATTCTTTTCAATAGTTGCAGTTTTTAATACTTATAATCTGTAAGATCTTTATTTGAAATATTTGACTTGATATTTCTAAAACTTGATATATATATATATATATATATATATATATAGTCAAAATTATAAATTACTTAGAATGTTAAGATATAATTTTATACTTAGTAGTTTTTAGTAAATATAACAATATTATTATAATAAATATCTCAGTTATTGTAAATATTGAAAACTACTTATAGCTGTTTAATTGTAAAATTCAAATTCATATAAAAAGTTATTTTTGAAAAATTCATAGATACAAGAAATTCAAATAAGAGATTATATAATATAAATAATTTTTGAGCTAAAACTTAAAAGCTAAACTATGTTTAATTTATGAAATATGTTCAAAAAATTAATTGAGATAAATGCTTTAAAATTCAGATATTTAAATTTATATTTTTTGAAGACTTAATAATCATTAAATGATAAAACTACAGAGTGCATACTATATAAAAATATTTTATAAAATATAAGAATCCAGATTTAACTGCATATATTGATAAATCTAAATCTCTACTAAGATGCAATATAGTATATATCATTAGAGATGATATAATACATAGTTTATATCATATATCAGAGTAAATTGATTTTACTAATACTTCTAACTAACTAATAAAAACTCTGTAGTTTTAGTTAATTAGTTAGTTAATAAAATTGTGTTTAAATTTTATTACTGTTTGAAACTATAATGCTACACTAATTAACTTAATTTTGATTAAGCTTAATTTAACATGCTCATTACTTTCATAAGTAATCAGTAATCAAGTGCAGAATATCTAGTAGAATTTTAATAAATATATTAATATAAAATGATAATCATTGTTTAAGAAATAAATAACTCTTATCATTTTACTTGAAGATTATATACTACTAGAAGAATGAATTACTACTTTACAATCTACTACTGTAACAAATATACTACTTAATACAGCTCAAGCGCTTTCTTATAACAAAAAGACAAATTCATTAAAGAAAAAAAAGAAGAAAAATAAAAATAAAAATTAAGAGAGTAGATAGAGACAGAGTTTTATAGAGATCTGAATGAAGAAGAATATTATGAGCTTAAAAGTTGAAACAGAAGAAAAATATTCTAAGTCTAGTGTGATTTTGATTATATAAAATGATAGTATTTAAATGTTGATCTATTATATCATTTTTTTTTTTTTTGAAGATTCATTTGATGAGTCATTCAGTAGATTAATTGTCAGAGATTAATATGAATTAAATGTGATTGTGTCTTGAAGAGTGAATGCTGATTCTCAAGTTAAGCAGTCATAATCTACTCTTTGAACTAGATATTTTCAACAGTGTCTATAAATGTGATAGTGAGTTATTCATTTAATTTCTCATTTCAATTCATTGTCTTTGTTGATAACATCAGATGATTGTCAATTGAGAATTTTCTATGATGAAAATGAGTCTTCAACAGCTGATTAAAGCAGATTAGCATAAAAGACATTATAAATTTCTGAAGATATGTTTAGTTGATAGTTATGTGATGATGTAGAACAGACTCTGTCTAGACTCTTTAGCAGCATAAAATCATTGAGTCAAAAAGAGTAATTACAACTGCTTAGCAATAGCATAGCAATCAACTTCACAATTACTCTGTAAATAATTACTTTGTAAATATGAGAATTATCTAGCAATTATACCAAGAAAAGAAACAACTGCACTAAAGAACAATTATATAAATAGAATTTTTCCTGAACTTATCTTTTAGAAATTATATTAATTTTTCATTGAGATAGTTAATCTATTTGATAATCAAGTATCTGATTCATCTGTGTTTAAATTAAAGCTGTGATAAATTATACCTGCTAAGTATCTTGATAATTGTACATTTACATAATGATAATTAAGTGTTCAAAAAAATTAATCTGCTTATATATTCTTAATATCTAGTTATATCTTATTTTTAACTTTATATCATATGAGTAAGCTTTTATATATATTTACTTGATTTTTATAATCTTATTGAGCATTTATTATAAAGACTTTAGCTTATTTATAAGCTCTTTTGGGCTTGTTTACAATGTTTTCTAATGATTGTATTGAGTTACAAATATTATCAAACTTTTTAAATAGTTTATTAACAAAATTGAAAGAGCTTTCAGATTAAATTTATGAAGTAAAAAAAATGAGCTTATTTCTATTATTATGAATTCATTGTTATTAATAGCAATCTCCATATATAAGAAACAATCATCTTATATATAGTTATAGAATTTTCAGAGAATATTTTTAATTATTTAAATTATTTATTTAGAAGTTTTATTTATTTCAAAGAAATAAATAATTAATAAATTAAGTTTTATAATCAGAAATTATGAAGAAAGAAAGTTTGTATATATAATAGAATCAGTCTTTGAAAAAAATATCAATAATTATTTTAATATTTATCTATTTATATGATTGAAAAATAACTTCTTTTTAAAGATAGTTTAAAACTATCATGATATTTTAATAAATATTATTTTTTGATAATGATACTATAAAGTCTATAGTAATATCTTATCAGATATTCTCAAAAATTAATAAAGATTATAGTATTTCTTTTTAATATTTATATTAGATGATAATAGAGCTATATTAATTACAAATTCAGATAAATTAATAAATATTTTTAAATACTTTAGATCAATAGAGATCTTGAGTAACAATTTTATATATGATTTAATAGTCTGAATATTACTACTTGAAGAGTTATGAATTTATTAAATTTTTATTATGAGAGATTCAAAATTGAGCACTTATTATTATTTATAAAAGTACAAATAATCTTTTTTATCAATAGAGTATATTGAAATATTAGTCTATATATAAAGTTCTAATAAAAATTTTTATTTCTTCTCATATACAGCTTGTATAGCAGTTTGAAATTATTTATCAACAACTAATATATGTTTTCAATGCTATTTCAGAGAAGGTTTATAAACTGCTTGAGAAGATATGATATATACAGTAAAAAATATAAACTGTTCTATTTAATATTGAATTCTTCTTTCTTATTAGTGTAAAATTGAGTAAATAATACTTTTAATTCTTTCATCTTTTATCTAAATTATTTGATGATATATTTTATTTTTAACAGAATAGTATATTTGCTAAAGTGTTTTGAATTTTAGAGTAATAGTAAATTATGAAGAAGAAATAACTTAAAAATTTTGATCAATATATTTAATACTCTGTAAGTTTTTATACTACTATAAAGTATTTTAAATTTTATAATCTATCATAATTTAAAATTTTTCAATACTTGTAAGCTCAAAGTTTTATTTTTTAAGATAATGAATAATTGCTAGAAGTTTCTTATTATAGATCTTATAATTGCATTTTGCAGATATCATCTTTTTGAATATAAAAATATATGATTATAAAACTTCATTATCATTATCCTGCATTAGTACTTCATCAACTACATACTCAGAAAAGTCAGTTTTATGACTTCTTTATCAATTAGAGTTAAAAAAAAGTTGGAATAAATATGAATATAAATATCTACTTTAGTTTTTTAAAGACTATATCTACTTTATTATTTCATTAGAATATGAAGTTTTTTTAAATTAAATCTATTATTAATCATATAATATCTGAGAAGTCCTTTATAAATTATTGATAAAAATTGATAAATTCTAGAAACCTTTAGACTTCTTTAATAAAATTAGAAGTTTTTATTTAAAAATGACAGCTATATTCTTGAGATTTATATATATACCTCTGTTAGCTTTAATAACAAAGTCAATATAGATAGTAAAATTTATTTAAATTTTATATTAATCTATATGAGCCTATAGTCTAGCTTCTCAGAGTTATATAAATATTTGATAAATATGTCTTTGATACTATATTTGAAACTGTTAGTAAAGATCAAAATATCATTCATATATACTGAGGTAGTTTTATTAAAAAGGTTTTATTATACTCAATTAATATACTTTTAAAATGTATTTAAAGTATTCATAAGATCGAAAAAAATTATAGTTTATTTAAATACTTCATATTATATTTAAAATATTATCAATCATTCATCTTCTTCTCTGATTTAAATTTTATTAAAGATAATTAATATATCAAATTTAATAAATTATTTAATTTTATCAATTTATTCAAATATTCTATTAATGAGAGAAAATAATTATTAATTTTTTTTAGTAATTTGATTAAATCTATAATAATCAATATAAAATTTTAAATTTTTTTCAGATTTCTTTATAAAAAAAATTAATATAACTATAAAAGAGTTATTAATTTATATGAATTTCTTATCAAGCAGATCATTAAGTATTTTTTGAAAAATCAGAAGTTTATCATAAAATATATTATATAATAAATCCTAGAGAAATTGCAGATTTTTATCATTCTCTTTTTTATCAATTGAATTTTAATTATAAAGTGATGATAAATATTAAACTGCATCTTTATTAAATATATTAATAAAGTTTTATATTAAATGAGAAGTTTATTTTATCACTTTTTTGAATCTTAAAACTCAAACTTTTCAAAAACTTTTTAAATATCAGTTATATTAGTAATAAAAAAATTGATATTTTTCTTTTTATATCTTTAATAAGTTAGAAAAAAATAGAAGTTTATAAATATCTATATAAACTCTATGATGTTATTAATATTATTCTTATAAATATAGTCTTTTTCAAAGAATATAAATTGATAATTTTAAATATTTATAAAAATATCAAGTTCAGTCAATAATAATGGTTTAAACATTAAAATATATTTAAGATTAAATAGTTTATATATATATATATATATATATATATATATATATATATTATATTCTTCTACTTTAATGTCTATCGTCATTATAAAGTAAAATTTAAGTTTTTTAAAATTATTAAATTTTTTAATATTTCAAAGCTTATAAAAAAAATATATTAAAGCTTATACTTTTCAAATAGTCAAAAATTTATCATAAAGTAATGAAGAAAATCAATGTCTATTATTATATAAATATTTATTAAGTTATTTATAATAGTAAATATAAAAATAACATTTGTTAATATCTTTAATTTAAATTTTTAATAAACTGAGAACTTCTTCAGCTCTTATCTATGATTTAGAATGAGAGCTTTTCTTTTCTTTGATTAATAGTACTGTTACTAAATGAGAGTTTTTCTGATATAACTTGACTTAAATAAGATTGCAAATATTAACTGAGAACTAGTACTTCAGTACACTAAATTGTAAAGTATTTAGACTAATTATATTAAATATAAATATTTTATACCATTCAGTCTATTGTATTCCTTTTAAAGATACTAGGATTTCTTGAATAATTAGTACTAATATTAAAGATTCAATTTATTAAATTAGATGTAGTTATTGTATTTGATAAAATAAATAAAATTGTAGTATATCTTTAAATAAGTTTATATTAAATATATAAGTTGATTTAATTATGAAAATCTTGAATAGTGTGAAATTGAGTAAGACAATTATTCAATTGATAAAAATTAACATAGTATTTGATATAAATTGTGAACTTTTGATAATTTATACTTCAGTTCAGTAATTCAAAATTCAGATTTCTGTCATGGCTCAACTAAAGTCAGGATGATAACAAGACAACAGCTTCAATTCATCTATCTAACTAGGCAGCTGCGACGAGAATATTAAACTGAGGATTAGAATGAAGAATGAACGAGCAGCCGAATATATAGAGGTGGTTGGGGATCAGATCGGATCAACATGAGCAACTGAATATGGTTGAGGTCGGAATGGATCAACCTTGAGAGCGTAGCGGGGAGGATCAACCTTAATTCATATACAAGCAGCTGCGCCGTAACATTTAGTATAGAAAAATCAAATTACTGAATATATAATATTTTAATAATAATTTAAGTTTTAGATTTTTTTTCATAATAAAATATATTATTAAAGATTAATTGATTTTTAAATATTTAAATTAAATTATTTAAATGTAATGAAATAATACTAAGACAAAATATTAATATGATATGATATAGAATTAGTTATAAAGAAAGTTGAATAAATAAATTTAACTAGTTTAGAAGTATTTAAGTATATATCAATAAATAAAAAAGTAATCTAAGAATCAAAGATATAAATAATTGTATTAAAAATTATATATGTATTTCAGTAACTATGATATATTGAAAATGAATTATAACTCTTTGAATAGTGAGTCAAATAGCTATTTATATAGAGTTTTCATCAGACTTTCTTTTTTCATTGAATGTGATGAGATGCCACTCAAACTGATTAAGAAGAGTAGAGATGCCTTTCTAAGCATTGTTAATGATGTAATTTTCATAACCTTCTGCAGCGATGATCTTATGCAATCATTTTGAATAAAAAATAGGGAAGTGTGAATATCATTACTATGATATTATAAGGTGTAGAAGGGCAGCGGTGCCAAGAAGGTACCTTGCCTAGATTCTGTGACCGTGACAAAAAGATCAACAATTTATATAAGTAGTCACTAAAACAAATATGTTATTTTATGAAGTTTCAAATACTATCTACTTTCAAGAACAAAATATTATCACTTTCAAAATATCTGAAAAAAGCTCTTATATCTAACACTTAAACAATATTATCTAATTATATCATGATGAATAATATATTATCAACTTAAGAATGCATATAGAAAATGAGCGGTCTTCTCTGAGTCTAAGTTTTAGTTTCGTAGTCATACTATCTTGACGTACTCAAAGCCACCAGAGCTAGTTCAAGAGCTAGTTCATGACATATCTCAAAAATCAAAAGAGCCCCTGCTTCCCTCTCTCAGTGCCCACAAGTCTGAGTTTTCTTGAGTTTTGAGGCTGTACCACTTCTGTTGAAGCGGAGTAATTATAGGCTCTCTGCCTGGGCTATGTAGTGTTTGAGGGGGTTTGGCCCTCGTCATCATCTTCATCCTCGCCGATGGAGCAACTTTTATATCCGCTATCTGTAAACAAGGCATCCTGGGTAAAGACGGGCATACCTCTTGCTCCTCCTCTCCTTATCGTCAGCTCCTGCCCGACGAGGGTGAGGCGCCATGATCAAGGCAGCCCACAGAGAGCTGGCAACAGAAAGAGAGACAGGAACGAAGAACTGAGTGCGAGGTGGTTTCATGGAACGGACCGGCCCAGCGGTTGCTGCGAGAGCTACTGGTGGGAGGAAGGACGAGAACGGTAGAAGACATGATTAAAGGAGACACAGAGAACATGATGGTCAAGGGCGGGCCCGAAACGGTATGGGTGAGCGTCAACAATGGCATCCTCCTCTGCAAGGGTGATCAAGCGGATGATTGCGAGTGAGGGACCACACAAGTTGTGGGCCACAAAAAGATTGGCTTGGGGTGTGCGTGGAGGCAAGGGGCGGTGGTTGTGGGAATTGTTATATGTAAGTATTGATATTTGCTCAATAAACTTTTGATTGCAATTCTAAATATGAATTAAACCAGTATCTATTCTTGTCCTCCAGATCTCATACGGTCACCAATAAGATTAAGATAATCGAAGATGTAAAAAGAGCTAAACTGAACTAGGCTCTCTCTTTACCCTTAGGTAAAGGACATAAGCATAAACAATAGCCAATATGGAAAAGGGGCTGAGGTTGCAAAAAAAAAAAAAGGCCCCAAAGGTTCCCAAAGTTGTGCTAATTGCAAATCTTTCATGAACCTGTCAGATAACGTAATCCACCACCGAACGGCGGATTCTCTCAGAAAATCATCAAATATTCAATGCATTCAACAACCAACACGCTTAAATATTGAAAATATCAATAAATTAAGACTGCGTGTGGTGGAGCACGCTGGTGAGACATAGCTTCAATCTGAGCTTCAACCTGCATATCAAGCTGCAGAACGTGCCATGATCTGCCTGTATAGATAGAATGGTATTCTGACCTAGATTAACATGTCTTTGTGTCTTTTTCTTCATCTTCCACTTATTCACTGCTTGTAGAATCTTGATTTCTTGAAGAAGAAGAAGATTTGTATTCATAGCCATTTGTGCAATCTTTTCAAAATGATGAAGATAAGATATTAAATTATTAAATAGATATTTTTTTTAACTTATACTTCTTTATAAGTGATAAATCTTATAATCAAATTGATAAATGATTTGAGATATTTAAAATACTAAAGATATTAAGTTTTTAGTATTAATTAAAAATAATAATAATAATATTAATACACATAGTTGAAAGATAATTTTTGAAAAAAAAATTTATTTTATTTTATAATTTAAATTTCGTTTTAATAATATTATTATAAATATTTTAATAAAAAACTTTTTATATATAGATAAAAAAAAATAAAAAATTATTTTTATTAATATAATTATTTTTTATAATTATTATTTTTTTAATTAATTTTTTATATTTATATTTTAATAACTTAAAATTATTAATATATAATAATTAAAAAAATAAAATATATAAATAAATATATAAAAATAAATAATTATATTATCTTTATAAAAATTATTAAATTTTATAGTTAAATAATTACTATAATTATTAAAATTAAATAACTATTTTATATTTATTAGATAATATTTAAAATATAATTTAAATATTATTTTTAATTAATATATATCTAGTATATTAATAATTTAATTATTATTATATTTATTTTTTAATTATAAAAAAAATTAATTTTTGATATTAAAATTCTTTATTAATTTTTTTTTTAAATTTATCACTAATAAAATAAAATATTATTATAATTTTATATATTTAATAACTATAATTTATTTATAATTTCTTTAAAATAATTATATATAATTTTATACTATTTTTAACTATAATAATAACTTTAAAGATTATATAAAATTTATTATAAAATTTATTTATTATATTAAAATATTAAATATTATTTTTATAAATTTTATATTTTTAAACATCTTTATATATATTATTTTTAATTATTATTTTATAATTTTTAAATTCTTTTACTTTATTTATTAATAAAATATACAGCAATTATATTATATATATTATTGAAAATAATATTGAATAAATCTAAATACTTAATTGATTCTAAGAATAATGATAGAATTAAAAATATATATTTAAAATAGATTTTATATTATTTTATATAGAAACTCTGATCAGATTAAATCTTTCTCATATTTGCATTCAGTAATTGCTTAATAAGAGTTTTCTCTTCAATCTTTGTTAATTTGTGATTATTTATATGTGTTTCTGAATGTGATTTGATGCCAGCAAATTGTTTACGCAGAGTAGTTTCAGAAATCTCATATATCTTTGCAGCTTTTATCTTGGATATATTTTTTTTGATTTATATGCAGCAATGACCAACTGCATGTGAGTTTCTTGAAATAAAGACATTTTGGGTAAAAACCATGAAGAAATGATGTGTTGATGATAGTTGAGTTGAATATTTGAAGATTTTCGGAGAGAATCCGCCATTCGGTAGTAAATTACTAGCTGGAATTGCTAAGCTAACAGCCGCCGTCATCATTGTTGGCCGTTTGAATTTTCTCCTGATTCAGAGCCTGTCATTCTGGGCTAAGGATTTTCTATTTTCTTTGCTTTGGGTGTTTCTATTGGCATTCGCGTATAAACAAGCAACTATTTGCCTGAACAGGCGGAGAAAGTGGTTGCAGGTGAATACAGGAACTGTCAATTTTTGAGCACTTTGACGTTGCAGGATAATCCAAAATAAAGAATAACTATTCATAGGGAGGTAAGTTGGGTAGGTGCCTGCGTTGGAAAAGAAATCTCATGTCAACTCATTGCATTTGCTTCCGCTAATTACCCTTTAGAGAGATTGACCCATTTATTCGTAACTATTGCACCTCCGAAAAAGCCGAGGAAATCGGGAACTTGTCAACATGTCAAAAACTATTTTGGTGGAGCATAGACACGGGATAGTTACTAATAAAAGGTTGTTTTATGAACGGCAAGGCACTGGACTGCCTGATGCTTCGTCATTGAGAACTGACAATTTCCCGAAATCCCAGCAAACTCCAATGACCCAGCTCGATGGGTGATATGCAATTTTTATTTTTATTTTTTATATTTTTTTTTTATTTTACAAATGTTTCCAGAATTAACTGATCAGCGTGAGGGTGCAATTTAGTGGCTCCTGAGTTACCTGAGTCCAGGTTCCAGGTCCCTGAGGGGGGAGAAACGACCCAACAACTTAATACCGGGACAGGCCCATCTTTGATTTGATAGACAGCACCGGACAGATCATATCAAGATCCTGAAAGGGGGAAGCCAATCGAGACCGCAATAGAAGGCCATTCAGGTATCCATAGAAACTCTGGAATTAGAATCAGGGGTTTTTTTTGTGGCACCCTTCTGGAACCCGTCTCCAGAATGCTGGTGGTCAAGGAAGTCCGTCCCCAAATGATTTGACAATTGCGCCTGGCTAGGGTCCTGCCAAGGCGCCCGAAGAAGTCTTCCATGGAAGTTTTTTTGCCGTACCCTGGCGACTCTTAAGCAAGCCGGTGTTTTTGACGTGCCAATAGGACGGTACATAATAATAATGCGGTTTCCAATCATCTACGACCCAGAGTTTGCTGACACGAGCACTGAGCACTGAGCAGTCGAAGGAACGGGAGGAAAGAAACTCAAAATTTGTAACAAAAGAGGAGAATAGATAACCGCGTCAGTTCCTCAAATAAGACGGGTGGTTGGAATATTTCCTTGTGTAGCCTTCAGTATCAATCGCTTTTTAGCCACAGCAGGGTAGATGCATCAATGCTGTTGATATTCTGAAGTTGGAAGGGAGGCTGAAGTTCACCCTTGAGGAAGAAAACTTGTAATAAACTAATCGGTCGGTGTCATTCCCTTTGGTTTGTCAGCAGCGGATATTTGTGGAGTAGAATACCGGGGATTAAATACAGCAGAAATACCGACAGGTTATGGGCACAATACAATCCAAGTACATCCACGGGATATAGTGTATGATAGATACAGTTCTGTAGGCAAACGCACTCTGTATAGTGAGTGTAATATTATTTACCGTAGGTACCGCCCAAACCAAGTTCCAAACCAGCCAACCGCTGTCTTCATCAGCCTCAACCCAGAACCTCATCCTCATCTTCGTCTGCTCCTCTCGCTCGCTCACCCTAACTTCCCCAACGCCTCACACATCTCCAGACTGGAGTTTCTCCTATCCCTCTTCTCTCTTCAATCTTAGTTGCTCCCTCGATTTTGCCTGTTGCTGGTCATCGTGGATTGCTTGCTCCCCAGTCCTCTCCTCTCACCCTGCTGCTAGCCATCCCTGAGCATATCCAGTGCTCGGTGTGGCCATTTGCTCTGTCTGTGCTGTGGTAGGGGGGTCGACTCTTCTGTTTACTATTCAAGATCTGTCACCTTTGCATCTGGTGCTTCCACCACTGCAACTGCTGGAGTCCCAAGTTCTCCACTCTATCTCATTAACCATATTCCAGCCAACCACCCTCTCTGCCTCCTGTCCCAGGACCCCCAATAATAGTGCTATAGTGGTGCAATCCGAGCTAGGTCGCTTTCTAGTTCCCACATCATTTCTCCCAACCACAACCACTACCGTTACCACAACCCTCCACTGCCTCCCCCGATCGACCATTCGCCAAATTTTGCTCCCTGTTAAACTACCACCCTTCTTCCTATCCATCCTCTTCCCATCCAGTTGACCACCATCTCTCTATTCTTTGTGGTCTCGTTAATCCACCATGGCGGCCGATTTGAGCGGCGAGCAAATGCAGGCGAAGATCACGGCTGCCCGTCGTGAGGCAGAGGGTCTAAAGGATCGCATCAAGCGCAGGAAAGATGAGCTTGCGGATACGTCTCGTAAGGACTGCTGTCTCTTTTACTCTTCACCCCATCTCCACATATGTTATCACATATCATGGCATCTATGAACTCCTCTGAATCTCTCTTTACACAAATCTCGTTCCATTGAACTCATCCAAGCCATAAGGTTTCTCACTCGTTGGGGCTTTCTCGCATATGTCCACCAGTCATTGGCTCTATCCCCATCCCGAGATTAAACCCGGGTCATTGATTAATTATTACTGACATAACATACCTTCCTCACAGTTCGTCAAGTCGCACAGAACAATACGGATCCCCTCCCACGAATTGGAATGAGACCGCGACGGAACTTAAAGGGCCACTTGGCCAAGATCTATGCGATGCACTGGTCGACAGACCGCCGCCATCTGGTTTCTGCCTCTCAAGACGGGAAACTAATCATCTGGGATGCATACACAACAAACAAAGTGCACGCCATCCCCCTAAGATCGTCATGGGTGATGA